AATTTACCTAAGAAAGATCTTATTACCCAAAAAAATATAAAAATGTATGAAATGATGTCAGGCTGGGGGACACAACAAGGCAAGAAAAAGGCACTCCGAAAGAAAACAAGCACAACAAACAGTATCAAATTCGCAATGTAGACAAACGTAATAAATAGGCAGATCATGAAAATGCATTAGATGACAATGGAGCAGGCAGGTTGGGTACATTATCATGTAATGATAATGGACCAGGCTAGGACGGGGAGACCCAACCTGCTTGGGAAAGGGACACCCTGTTCCCCGCCCCTGTGGGCTACGGCTTACTAAACAAAATCAGCACAAACTTGTATCAAATTCGCAATTTATAGCCAAAGAATGATTATATGAATAGTAGCAACAGAGATTTTTGGGCATTGAACAAAAAATCTGGCAGCGGCTTTCGGCCATGATGTTCACCTGTTTTTATTTTGTGGATGAATGTTGTTAGTACAAAAGGTAAGTTTGATATATTAGATTGGGACATTACACATTGACAATCTGCTAAAAGTTAATTTTATATTATTGAGGAGGGGGTGACAATCAATTGAGATAGTGATATTGGGACATAACACATTGACAATCTGCTAAAAGTTAATCTTATTGCTAGTATTATGGAGGAGGAGGATTGATCCTAATCATAAAATATCAAAGTGAAGGTCTTTCTTCTCGGTAACAAACTCATCTCCAAAAATCATTTACGTCAAAGAAAATGACAAATTATTAAAATACCAATTAAAAAAAATATATCAAATAAAACTTAAATTTCTAGTCGGGAATCAAAGCTTATCTTGCATTTAATTAAGAGATCTTTAAAATCATAATAAAAAATTAATCTAATCTGCAAAAAAATCATAATCAATATCTTTTTGTAAACACTTTACTTAAATTCTAAAAATATTTTTTTTAATAAATAAAATTTGAAGGATCTTATTTAACATTTTTCAAAAGTTTGGGATTGATTTTAAATCCTTCATATTCATAATGCCAAAAAAGAAGAAGAAGAAGAAGAAGAAGAAGAAGATTCGTCCTATCTCCTATCCTTCATATTAAACAACGTGAGGTACGTTTTAAAACTAATCTTTATTGTTTGATTATCCTAAGTTCTCCCAACTATTTCTTAAGTAAGTTGCTCTTTTCCATCATTGTACAAAATTTTACCAAACATGTTAGAGGTTTGAGAAATAAATATTTTGCACCGAACACTTCAGGGGAGAATAGTTTCTAGGAGCCGTGGGAGGTGGGACAAAATTCTTTAGTAAAAGAACTCTCATGCTAGTAGTAGAAAAAGGGATGTCTATGATCTTGGTAAGATTGGTGTTCACGCACCGTATGTCCAATATTTGAGGAAGTCTTAGCATGGAGCTAGCTTAGTTCAATACCAAAGAAAAGATTTTGCTTTCTTTTTCTCTTTTTTTTTTCTTTTTTTTTTTTTCGTTTTTTGGAAGGTTACCTTAGGAGTGGTAATATTGGTTTTTTTTCTTTTTTTTTTTGCGTAATGAGAGGCAATTATCTCTCATTCTTTATCCCACCCCACCCACATGTCATGACCACTAAATCATTTAGGTTGTTGTCAGTGGTAAAATTGGTTCTAATATGTAATTTTTATTAGGTTGTTTTATTTTATAAAAAAATAATCATTGTTCAAATATCATAAACAAATATCACTTTACTCAAGGGTTGGGTTTATTGGCAAATAAATGCCGTTTTATAAACCAATTCTAGAGTTTAAGTCTTGGGGTTAATGCCCAATTTAATATAAAAAACACCTTAATTGCAAATACTAAAAGAAAAATAAAATACTTATAATATGTTTAGGTTGATGAGAATGAAGGGGAAGAAAAAATTTATCTTTATTTTATATTTTTAAATTTTAATTATTTATTCAAGAAAAGGAAAGAAAAAGGAGAGAAATGAAGGGATATAATTCCCTTCCTCTTCCTTTTCTTCCTTTCCCCTTTTCTCCTCTTCATTTCTCTCAATCTAAATATAATTCCCTTCCTCTTAAGAAAAAAATTTTTTTTTTAATTATGCAAAATTTTAAAGTGAGGAGAAGTTATTCTAGTCCAAGGCCAAGACATGTTGTAAGGGCAGCCATACGAGACAAGGCAAAGCTCAGAGCTAGCCGCACCTCGGCTGCAGAGCTCAGAGTTTACCGCACTTCGGCACTTCGCCGTGGGTGTATGACAGCCACAATAGGCACGCCCCCATCTGATCATTTGTCCGTATCAGAACATCCCTTCTCAAGGAACCTGCTCCGCCAGAACGCATCACGCGCATTTAATGCGGTTGCTCCGTTAAGGCACGTTACACTCACCTAAAACGTCTACTCCATCAGGCGCACCATGTCACCATTATTGGATTGATTAAGCTACGTGGGTGCGGACAAGCCACGTGGGTGCCTTGCCAAGCAGGACAAAGCCCACAAGGTAAGGCTCGATAAATAGGCGGAAGAAAAAGAGGAAGAAAAATCAAAAAAATACTGATTTAAGCATCGGAGTTTCTCCCCGAGGATCAACCTCGGGATTTTGCAGGACCATCTGGAGAAGGATCAACTCGAAGCAGGAACTCAAGGATATTCAGCAACAACACATGTCACTGGCTAGCTTTGGTGTGGTATTTTTAGAGACAATATTGTCGCGATTTTGTAATTTGCTAGGCTGCAACCTTGTCCTTTAAAAAGGCGTTTATAATTCAGATAAATAATAATAGATAAAAACAAAATTTAAGATTAATAATATGATATAAATTATATAATTTAAAATATAAAAAATAAATTTTATATTATTTAACAATTAATTTTAAAAATTTTTTAATTCAAAATATTATATATAAAAATTAATTTAACAATATAATTTATATGATAGCATTAATTTTAAATTTATATCCTAAATTTTTACCTTCACTAACATTACTCAATTCATATAATAGGTCTGTGCTGGTAGGTCCGTGCTAGAGTTTTTACATAGCTAGCAAAGGTCGACAAGTCGACATCAAAAAAAAGATTACGATGTCGCCACAAAGCTCCTTTGTAAAAGATAGAGCCAGTGCAATTATCCACAACCTAAAATTATTTTTCATAAATTTTTTATTTTAAAAAGAAAAAGCAGCAAAGAATTGGCTTGATCCACTTGCTTTGGATAAGATGTATATTTGTAGGCTGGATTTAGAATATAAAATGACTCAATTTGATAGACTCATAGTCATAAATCAATTGAGTTCGGTAAGAATAGGGCCAAAGTTAACTTAAAATAACTCAATTGAAATTAATTAATTTTTCAAAGCTTTTTTGCCCCTCTAGAATTCTTCATCAAGTTCTGTGACTACCGTCCATGATTGTTTGTAAATATGAGCCACTAAATAATAGAAACC